GTCAGAGGTACCTTAGGTTTTGTTTTTTTTTACCTTGCTTTGGTTGCTAAGGTCTTTTGTGGAACAGTCTAAGGATTACTTAAGACAAGGAGAAAACCATAAATACTTAAGTGAACATATTAAGGAAATCTTATGAAGACTTAAGGGTGTTTTGTGCAACCAATTTTATTTTGAGGAAACCTTAACTAGGACATCATGCAAAGTCTTAACTTTATGTGTTTTGTGCAACCAGCTGAAACTTTTAGAATTCCTTCAGTGTTCATTGTTCAGGAGATTTTTACTTGGAGCCGAATCATCTGCAGACCTAGGGTCTCATTTATAAACATGTATGCACAAAACGAGGCCTCAAAGAGTTTTACGCCACTTCCCACACAAAAGCTGTGATTCATAAAAACAGACTTGATAAGAGAAACTTTGACCCATGCTTACGAACATTTTGTAGGAGGGAAATTGATTGTAGAAATTGTTGAATATTTTTTGGCATACACCTTTTTAAGCTTTTCTCTGTCCGTACATTTTTATCCTACGCATTTTTTTATAAATAAAACCCCAGGGGAATAAAACCGGTAGAAATACTGAATAAAGCAGTTTCATGTTACAAATCAATATTTTTCTGATGCTTTCATCACAGGGGAGCTTCTAACTATCGAGCCAGTGTTTGATTTGTTTGTTGTGGGTTACTGTAGAGACATGGTGATTTCCATTAACAAGGACCCTCTCATTTGGTAGATATAAAAGGCTCATTCTAAGGTAAGAAACACATAGCGGTTCTTATTTTTGGGTAATTGTACACAAAAGAAAATATACGTATTGTACTATTTTCCATTTCTGCTAATACATCTATCTAAATCCTACACACTGGACCTTTAAGTTAGAATATTTTTACTGCTTTACCTTGCTGACAGACAGCCCTTTCAGACGGATAACTGAAACCGTCATCTCAAATCCACCAGACTCCATTAACAAAAACAAATTTAGTTCGTAGACAGGGGAGTTGGTCGACCACTGACTTGATCAGTTAGTGTGTGAGGTAAAGCAGAGAAAATATTCCAAATATAGCGTACACTAGGGCTGTGCCATATCATGTAGTGTAATACCAGTATAATTTATAATATGATATAAAAAATTCATATTGTGATACTCGCGATATTTCAACTTGTTGACATGTTGATGTTATACTGTTACCCATGGAAACAAAAAGCATGGCTGAAGCGAAATTATTATAGACTCTGCGGTGGTTCCAAAAAGAGGAGCAGCTTCAGTAGTGTGGAATAAACTGTGGCGTCCTGAATGTTTTATGAACAGCCCCGGACTTCTCAGACTCTTTTAGTGACTTACCGCTCAGAGGGAACTCATTCAGCGGCTCCTCTGGCAGCAGCACAGCGTCCCTCCCTCTCCTCTCTCACCGTGCGCACACAGGAGTCGGTGTCGTCAAGTGATTTTGTCATAAACCTTTGGTAATGTAAACCTACGTGACGCTCGCAGCTTGACAATAAACTACATATATGTGACTGTGTAATAGTTGTGGTATCATAACAGCCTGTCACAGGTTACAGCGTGATGGTTAGAGGAGAAATGGCAGAGCATAAAGGTCCAGGTGGAAAAAAAAAAAGGATTTTACTAAAAGAAGGAAATCACCTGTTGATTTATATATATAGATCCCAGAGGACATTTTTTGTATTTGGGAGCTGTTTAAATGTGAAATTTGTGGAGGATTTTATTTTATTTAACTATTAATATTGTAACAGAATCTGAATCTCACTCTGAATTACTGTTGTTGTTCACAAACTAAAGAAATGAGAAATCATTTTTGTTTTTACTGAATATTTGAAGGTAAACTGTAAAACTATATCACTTATTTTGTGGCAATTATGTGTTATTAAAGCCACAGTGTGTAGGAATTTCTCCCATCTAACGTTGAAATCATATATTGCATTCAAACAGATGCCGCACTCTAGTGCCTCACTGTTTCAAACACGTATTGCAACAACTGTAGCCGCTGTGTACCAAAAAGCTATAACACTGATGAAACCATGTCATCCGATACTACATGGAGTATTCATTCAGGCTCCTACACAGACACACGCGACGTGAGTTGACAAACCCCCTCCTCACCATGCTGGCTGTGTTTACAACGTAGGACTGTTGGGGCGGATGTAAATTGAAACAATCTGATCACGTCTTGTCCTTTGACAACTGACAAGTGGCTCAACCTCACACACCTCATCCCTCTCCTCGCATTACTGCGCCACTAACAGCTGTTAGTGGCCAGCGGCACTACTGCCGCATAACAAAGTCCCACTCTTTGAGCATAATGTAGGATCATGTATTATGCAGCATCACGGGAGACGGAATCCTTCTCGCCAAGAAAGTGCAAAAGGGAATCAAAAAGGCAGCACGACCGGCGAATTAAAAAAACAAGGGTCAGCATTGGGGTTGCCTTTCCCAGGTGGAGAGAGCTGCTGAAGGAGAAAGGTAATACAATCATAGGCCAGTGCTAACAGCGGCTAGCGGCTAACAGCTAACAGCGGCGCTGGCCTGTGATTGAATTACCATTCTCCCTCAGCAGCTCTCTCTACCTGGGAAAGGCTACCCCGATGTGGGCCTTCGTTTTTTTAATTCGCCGGTCACGCTGCTTTTTCTATTCCCTTTTGCGCTTTCTTGGCGACAAGGATTCCGTCTCCCATGATGCTGCATATGCAGGATCCTGCATTATGCTCAAAGAGTGGGACTTTATTTCAAATTTGCCAGGGTAGTAGCGAAGCGCCTCTTGCTCCTCTCCTTCGGCTCCTCAGTCACGCAGTGCTGGCCTGGCTCTCAACGAAAATGCAGAAGGCGGTGCTGTATGTCCCTTGCTGGCGGGTGTATTCTCAAGATGGTGAAACGTAATGGAACCCCACAGACGACTTACCCGCACAATGTACAAACAAATCCGAAATTCTCCTTTTACGAGAATAAGTCAGATTATTGGTGGAGGTAATAGTACACCAGTGATGATATATTTATGAATGCAGACATCAATTTTTGCCAATAAACAACTGAAAATATTACACAATGTCCCTTTAAGTTAATAATGTAATATTTTTACTAATTTGTCATATCTTCAAGAATATCATTATCGCAAAAATACCCTGAAATATTGTGATATTATTTTAGGTCCATATCGCCCACCCCGAGCGTACGATTTAACTGATAATGATATTTTTAGGTGGCTAAAATACATTTTGCTGTGCATTGCTTAGCTTCTGTGCTGGAAAATTTGGTTTGTCAAAGACAAGAATGAAGCAACAGAGTACATAAAATAAGCACAACAGAAACTTCAGATAGATTGGACCAGCATGTATCTTTAAATGTTACAGTCATGGCTTAATAAATGACAACAGAAATAAACAAGTTTACCAATCTCACATCTCTGCAATTCAAATGAATTGCCAGTTGTCTATCCGGATGGAAGTGACTGTTGTTAGCGTGACATCACAGTAATTCGATCCACTGCAGTTTTTCAGAACTGTACTCTTTGCTGTTTTTATGGTTTCACAAGTCTTTTTTATTTCATGGCCATACCTGTCAGCTCTAAGAAAGACTGAATGGTTCCCAAGATAAAAATAATTAGGTTTTGAGGTTTCTTCATTTTGCTCTGTGTCCAGTGTTGTAAGCTTGTTGTGTCTTTGTGTACTGTGACACTGTGCTGCAAAATGCAGTTTGATATGGTACAACAGCCGTCATAACCAATTCAATTGCCTCCTGGTCAAGGTGCCTTGACTGACATCCCCCTGTGAGGCTGATGACATTTCCGAATCTTGAGTGACTCTTCTCTACTTCCTGCTCCCTCGCCCCCCTCTGGGCTTTTGATCACAGCATAAGTGGAATACATATGAGTTCAGGAATAGCAAGAGGGCTCAGGGAGGGTCGGAGGGATATGATGCATTTCCCCCTGACCTTTCTTTGAGGGGGAAAAAAAAATAAAAAACCTGACTGACATCTCCCAAAGTCGACTGTTTTTTAAAGACAAAGAGTGCGATGAAATTAGCCTTATCCATTTGCAACTGCAAATAATCAAAGACCCTTATGTTCTAAAGGTCCACGTGAAATGTTTGGTGACATTGAGCAATAACGTTGTGTTTTGTGAGTGACTGATGCAATTTAGAGATGCTGATTTACAAGCAGTGACACCAACCAAACAAGTCAATGCATCCATCATTCAGAGGCTAGAAATAGAACAAGGAACAGGACATGCAGGGACAATATATTCAGGCGTTGGGCGAGAAGCATAAAATTCAACCCGTGAGGATTGAGTCCTTTTTATTCATTTACGTCTGACATGGCTTTAGGAATGATGGGTCTGAAGGATCACAACACACATTTAAGAAATGACATTACAGGCCATTGTGGCAGAAATGTCGACTGACATTTTAACACTGCAAACAAGGCCTGAAAGGTCAGTCCATGTACGAGTAAATGCCAATAAATATTACGTAAGCCCTCCGATCTAAGACACAAGGGGCAGTGGAGGGTGTACGGGTGGGCAACAATACTGATGGGTTTCTTATTTGCTGCTGTTTATATTGTGCTTGCAGAGGAAGTATGTGACGGAGGAGACAAATTTTTTAAGCCCATTATATATGGTACCACTGAATCGTGGTGACACATGGTGTCATCTGTAATTTGCGTCTTGAGGATTCCCTTATATGGCCTAATGCATAATTCTGTATCAGCGTCACCCACCGCTGTCCATGTCATTTATCCACATACCTCCATGACTGAAAAGGACAGGATGGATTTTGCAGGGGGGAAATCAGAGGACAGGACAAACAGTATGTGGACTAAGCGTTGGCCAATTGGCTTAGCACGCTGCTGACTGGGAGGGACTTTGTAATTGCGTGCTGAATTAATTGGAGTACCTCCTGTGATGGGATCATCCTTTTCAAGGTGGTCTGAAGTACCTGTTTACCCCTGGTCTGGAGCTACTACAAAGCCACCCCCCGTCAGTTTGAACTTACCTTAAAAATTAAATCCTTTTTCCCGTACCGCAGTTCTTTCAGTTGAGCCTGGATTTTTTTGGACTGCAAGGGGAAGATAAGGAAATAAGTGTTAGCTTATTCAAATAGCGAAATTGGTTTTAGATCACGTAGCAGGATTCTGCCAGCTGCAGCAGAAGACTCCTTTGTGAGTGTTCCCTGGGCAAAGCTCTGGCTTAAAGCAAGGCTCTACTGAGAGGAAGAAAATATCAAATCTCCCCTTCACTGAACTGCATAGTCCACACAATGATGCAGTCATGCACTGGCTTCTTGCCCACTGTCTAAACCTGTATTCTCACTCCCACTACACACATTACTGCCGCCATCACCACACACATGCAGGTTCCTAGGTTACGGCAGGCTCCTGCCTGTCGGTAAGCAGCACACACACAAACAGAGCAGATCTTTACTGCCGCCCCCGATCAGACACAGTGACCAGCTCCGCCTGACATTCACTCTGCTGCTCCACATCAGTGGGCACATGGAACACAGAGGCGCTCTCCTAGATGGCTTGATACACAGCCATCCTCAAAGCTGCTCATGATGTGAGCATGAACACTGAAAGCCTCCACATGGGACTCTGCAGCAGTACAGAGGCTTTCTCTTTGTGTCTTCAGCGAGGCCAGGAGCCATTTTTATAGCGTTTCATGGCAAAGTCTTGCAGGACTGTAACTGTGATTAACTGGTATGCAGTTAAAATTCCCTCATTCGACTTGAACCACTGCAAAGTTTTAATGGAAAAGATTGATTCTGTGCATGATGCCTCAGCCATTACGTGAGTTTATTGGAGCTCATATGAGAGAACATTATAGTATCATAATAAAATTATAATTTTCAAAATCAATACATCTTCAGCCTGTTTACTGTTTATCTTCTTTCCCACCGATCTTTATCTCCTTCTGTCGGTCTCTTTTATCTATATTGTCTGTGAGTTTCCATCTACCTGTTTTTATGTTCATTATGTGCATAAAAAAACACAAGTGGGGAAAAAAAAAACAAATATCACAAAATGGTTTCATGGTTAGGTGAGGTGTAAAGGTTGGTGTTTCAGTAAATACAAAGACAAGACAAAGTGCATCAGAAACAGACATGTACATGTCACTTAAAAACTTCAGCTGCACCCATGAGAAAAAAAAGGAATCCAATATATGTGAATGGATAAGACTGTAACGTTCCTTAAAGGTCCAGCGGGTTAAAGTAATGGGGATCTAGCAGTGAGGATTGCGGATTGCAACCATCTTAAATTTCTCTTGGTTAGAATTCCTTCAGTGTTTATTATTCAGAGGGTTTTTACCGGGAGCGGACTTATCTGCAGAAGTGTCCTCCTCCAAAACAAACAGACCTGGTGATTAAAACCAGTAAAAACACTGAATAAATCAGTGTTTCTCCTGCAGATAGCCTGTTTGCCCATCACCTGCAAAGTGTCCTCACCGTATTTCTGATTCAAATGTTTAAGAGGTTTTTAATTATCCACATTATCTGCATCTGAACATTCCACAGGTCTCATCCTCTCCAAAACAAATGGACCTGGTGATTTAAACCTGGTAAAAACACAGATTAAGGGGCTGTACACATGACATGTCCTTAACCACCTGGAAAACACGAGGTCCGGCGCTGAGTGCTACCCTTGTGCCTTTTTTGTGCCAGCTTTCAAGAGTGCGAGGGCAGGTTGTGTCTGGGGTTGCTAAGCAACCTTAACAAGCACTGTTTCATTGCCTATTTACCTGAAAACCTGAGTGCAGAGCTGATCTTCTTCCAGGTACTGTTTATAAGAACAGGCGAAAAGCTGTGGCAGCCCTGAACTAAAATGATCAACTTCTCCTCCATATTTATCACAGACTTTTAGACATTTACAGAAGCGAAAGGTATCAGCCGGCTGTGATTGGTTTGTCCTTGTCACATGACATGTGGTGTGCCAAAAGGGCGCAGCTGTAGCGTTCTGAAAAATGGGTGCTCGGGAACGTGTGCGCACTGCTACAGTGACGCTTTGGGGTTTGAGTGTGCCTGCAGTGCATCTACTTTGAAAACAACAGATTTGCTGCAAAAAACGTGGCCATAACATGGTTGTCCGTTCCGGGATACTGGTACTGGAAACATGACAGTGCAACATGGAGATCTCTATAGACAAGGACCTGGTCTCTATGTAGATATAAATGGCTCATTCTCAGGTAACAAAAACACAACAATTCTTATTTTCAGGAGATTACACTAAAGAAGACAAACATATAACATTCTGTTTCTATAAATATATCCCCCAATACCTTACACACTGGACCTTTAATTTACGGCATGAAACAAAGAGAAATGTCTGGCGCTCTTTTCATTATTGTCATTTCCATGTGCACTCTTCCTCTTCAAAGATTTAATAGCGAGCGACTGGAGAAGAAACTGCATTTCCTGGAAATTCAGTTAAAATCTGCATAACGTTTGGATGGAGCCATGACTTATATCTTTCCCTCTACCTCTCTGTAGCTCTTTCTTATATCCATCTGCTATACTGTATATATATATCTTTCTTTCCATCCGAGTGTCTATCTATCTCTATAAACCTCTCTCACTCTTTCTATCTGTCTATCTCTATACTTCCTCGACACAGGCAGTAAAAATGTGACATGAGGTCTAATCTTTCACCAAAGCACAGTGAACACGACGCTGAAGGTCAAATTCACTTCAAAGGGTTTTGTGTACTTGACAAGCACCTGTGCCTTTTTCTTTTTATGAGATTCTTTATCTTGTTAATCCTCTTCCCAGGGTGCTTCCATGTCCCAAGACACTCATCTCTGTCATGTGTAAGTGGATTCAAGAATTGCATCCCGGGGCTCACCTCATAAAAGAATTGTAAGGTTAAATAAACACAGAGCTATCTTAAAAACTCCAGCTCACACAGGATGAGCCATATATTTGATTTGGTATCGTTGAGTGTGTTTCCTGTGGCCCAGGTCATGATATAAAACGTTAACAAATTAATTTTATTTGTATCAGTTAAGTGGAGCTTTTGAGATACTCTCTGGTAATGGAATGAATCATATTAAGAGGCTACAGAGTCACATGCCATGGAGTGTTAACTTATAAATGCAAATATCTGAGTCTCTAAATGTGCTGAGCTCTCAGACTTGCCAAAGCATTGGTCTATTATTTACTCAGAATAAATCATGTGAGCTGTCTCCTCGGCCCGAGAGAATCACAGCGGCATCTCTGCTTCGTTGTTCCTGATGGTTCACATCCTGCAAGGGTGGGACCTGCATTTCAAATAGTTACATACTGAACAAAATACAGCGACACAGTATTGTATAAGCTTGGTGTAGTTTTGCTAACTTTTTTTTAAAATATTCAAGTAATATATCACTATGAGTCATTGGTTTTGTGAAAATGGTGGCAGAACTGTCAAATATCAGCAGCCTGTCCCAAGGACAGACATGTTAATATGTGCGCAAGCACAGTATGTCTTTGACACTTATGTTCTGCTGGGTTTATCATTTATTTATTATTCGTAACAAGATCAGACAAATGGAGGATGCCAGATTCGGGAGGGATTCAGTCTTCTGAGATCATAATGTGTTTGTGATGTTTTAATGATTCATCCACTCTTGTTTAGTGCCAGTCCAACTAACTCTGCTAACTTAACTAATTTCCTATAAGTGAAAGTTTTGCTAAATTATTTTAGGGTCTTTAAAAACCTATTTTTAACCTTCGGTCCATTTGAGGACTAAACAACAAACTGTAAATACAAACAGACAAGTTGATTCGGCAAAGAGTCAAACAGCTTCTTATTTACACATGGAGCAGACACAGAGCACCATTAGCATTCATTTGCAGTCATGTTTGTGTGGACCCCACAAAAATTCACCAAGTCCTATATGCATTCTTCTTTTAGCTCCTAAAGGTACAGAAGAGGATTAGGGCCACACGTGAAGAATTGATTTGAGTTCTGAGTTTAAAGTCAGAACTCTGAGAATAAAGTGAGAACTCTATATTCTGTATTAAAATTTTGAATTTATTCTCTGAATTCTGATCTTAATCTTAAAACATGAATCCTGACTTTATTTTTCAGATTCTGATTTTGAACTCAGATCTCAAAAATAAATTCACATGAATTCTGGCTTAAACTATAAACAAAACAAACACAAAAATCACTTTACAATTCTAACTCCAAACTCAAAATTCTCAATTTATTCTCAGAATTTTGCAGTCAGTCATGTTTGTCTATCCGACAGATGTACCAAGTTCTGACTCAGAACTTGAATAAATTCTTCAAATGATCCTAACCCTCTTCCATAGGAGGGGAAATATCTTTCTCTTTAGTTGCTAAATGCTCCATTATATTCACCAGCTAGTTGCTAACTGTCTGTCAGTCGTTTGGTGCTGGTCAGTGTATAGTGAGTTTATCAAAGCTGGAAACAGCTGACTGCCACAGCTGGGAACAACCCTGATAAAAGCTGTAAAGTTGCTCGATGTAAAACTAAAACAATAAGCTGAAAGGCGCTAAAATCTAGAGCTGAAGGGAACTGCGGAGTCAGTTGACAAAGCAACGTAGGTTCATTTGTATGAGCAACACTTACATTAGTAGTCATTCTATCCATTATTAATTCATAAAACACTTATTAGTGCAGCTTTAAATGAGGATTTTAATTAAATTGACAACACATTTTAATCTCTGTACCAAAGCACCTGTTTTTGAACCTAAGGAAAAGCATGCATTGCCTTAGTGTTATTTTTCTTAAATCTAAAAGCAGCCAAATAATCCAAAATCTATACATCCTTACTTTTCTCTCTCTTCCTTTGCCTTACCTTGCCACATTTTATCCACTCAACTAAAAGACTTCATGCATTTTGTTCATGTCCAATTAACTAGCCTTTTTGTTTAATGCCGATTAGTTTTTCAAAAACAGATACTTTGCTCTTGGATTTTCAGACAGGGTCAATAAGTTAAAGCTGAACCGCACCATCCAGTTCTGCATCTAAAGACTCCAATAGTATAGCTTTACAGCCTTTAAGGGTTCCTCATTATCCGAGTTCAAATAGCCTACAGTATGTATGACAGTGTG